AAGAAGGACTTACACACACGCTGGAATGGAGATACCATCAAAGGAATTCCAATTGGAGGAGGAAAAAAGAAAATTTGGGAAATTCCGTGATTACAAGATAATAGACTGGGATTATATCAGATGCAGTGCAAAACACAAAGACAGGCCAAAACTAAGCTCACAGATGCTGCAAAAGCAGGGGGAAAAGTCAAGGAGGAAGACAAAATTTGGAGGGGAAGATATGAGGGACATGGCATGGATACTTAGAAAAAAAAAAAAAAAAAAAAAAGAAAACTCCCAAAGTCATCAAAAGGCATGGCATGGCATCAAGGGCAGGGACATGCACCAAAGATTCCTCTATTGGTCCCCATTGAAATTGCAAGATTCCGAAAAAGAATCTTGAGAACCCGAAAAGAAAGGCTTACAAACACTCTGGAAAGGAGATAGGATCAAATGAAATGCAATTGAAAAAAACTCAAAAAACCAGAAAATAGGGAGTTTTAGTGTCTTCAAAAAATAGGCTGCGAGGAAATGAGCTGCGTTGCAAAGGACCAAAACATGCCAAAACTAAGCACACAGATGTTGCAAAAGCAGGGGAAAAAGTCAAGGAGGAAGACAAAACTTGGAGGGGAAGATATGAGGGACATAGCAAAGATACTTAAAAGAAAAAAAAAAAAAAAAAAAAGTCTTGCGTTGTCAGTTAATAAGACCATCAGATTTTCTGCAAACTTGATATAATTAGTGCCAAATTTGTATGGTAAGGAAGTAATTCCATATGTAGATGTCATTCTTATTCCTTGAATTAATTTAAATAATTTCTAGCCATCCAAATAAGATACTAAGATTTTTCCTAATAGAAGTATGGGTTTAATACTGCTTTTGACTAGCTCATCAACACAATTTTATTTCATTGCACATGCATTTAATAATACAGTTCCTTTTTGGGGAGGAACTTTCTGTAAGGAGAAACATAGTAATGACAAGTTAAGAAATCAGCCTGCACATTTTTATCAGCTCATAAGCAAAAATAATTCTAGCTTTGGTAGCAAATTGTACAAAAAATTAATGAAAACAAATACATCAGAGAGTACTTAGGGATAGGAATGGCTGATTTTATTGGTCTTCTTAGCACATAATTTAAGCAGTTTTATAAATAGATTCTCTCTATTTGCCTACATGGACATAATTTTTTATATTCCTTGCCCAAAGGAAAAATACTGTTACTCCAAAAGCATGATCCTAGGTTTTATTCTATTCTATTTTCCTTCATTTTTGTAGAATACTGAATACATCCCTAGAGAGTTGAGATCAAAAAGCCTCAAGCACACAGGAGAGCTCTGGTAGCATAATAACTAACTGCACAGCAGCTGAACCTCTGCAAGCACTGGTTACTGAAAACAGCAAACAAGGTCAATAAACCTAAACTATGTGAAAAAGGCCACACTTTTCAACAGGAATATGAGTAGACCACAGAAGTGGGTAGCTCTTTTAGAGTTACCCAGCTCTTAGGTACTTCCAGAATAAACCATTAAAATTTGATCATATTTTACGTCTGAAACCAAGAAATGTCTGATAGCTTTATGGCAAATAAAGCAGGAAAGGTTAAAAGATCTAACATATAGCTCTGCTACAAGACACTGCAGTGGTGTACACAGTTTATGCCCTCACACACGTGCCAGGTCACTTGTTAATTCTTCAGTAAATTTCTACCCACAAGAGTGAAGCCAACAGAACTAAATATGAGCATATTAGTGCAGCAGTCAGCCATCCCTCCCTTAAACAATGAAGGAAAGAGGGTTTTGCTTTTCTAGCTGATTTTCCACTGAAGCTTATTAAATAATGGTCATATTTTCTACCTTGCTGACTGAGCTGAGGGGCTGAACCTCCTAGTGACTGCTGGTGAAAGGCAGTCAGAACATGAAACACTTTGAACTGCTCCACACAGAGTCATTAAGGAACATCTGCCTACGTTGCTGCTTCTGGAAGAGGAACACACTTGCTTCCCTTTGACATTTCTTTCCCCTAAAGGGAAAAAAGGGTTTGCAAGCGCATTTTACCAGCAATTAACTTTTCCCTGCATCAGCACTCTCTTCCTCTGTTACAACTCACAGTATCCATACATACACAAACTTTTTGCCAGGCTACTTGACTTTATTTTTTAGTAACAATCTACTTGACCAGTAATACTGCAATTTAAAATGTGTTTCTTACAACAAGGCTCCCAGATTTGCAATGGACAGTCAGATGAACCCTGAGGGGAAAAAAGTACTTGAGAATAATTGTTTTCTCTCGTTAAAAAATACCCCTACATTGGTATCCAGGAATTTGTTTCTAGGAAGGAAACAGAACTATTTTGTGGCTTAGGTAGCTCTCTGATCACCAGGTAATGTCACCTTTCTAGGTATTGATATTGGGCTTGGTTTCAGAACTGCAGTCCAGAACAGGGGGTTTGGTTTGAGCAGAGGTTTGCAAAGAAGCCTGAATAGCATGGATATCTGCAGTGTAGCTAGTTCCTGTCAGCCCTGTCCAAACTGCCTCTGTTAATGAAAGCTGATCCTCAACACTCTTCTTCAAGAGCTCATTTGAATTTCTCATCCCATTTCAATTAAAAAGGACTATGCTGAGAAACCATAACCACATGAAAATCCCTTAATAGCCAGTAGATGTTACAAATCCATAACTTGAGCCAGCAGGGAGTGACACCCCAAGTCTTATAAAAGTCACCATGCATCTTAAACTCCACATCATTGCTAAACAGATACAGAAGTACAATGAACTGGAAAGCCTGAAACAGCATGCCACGAGTCCAATGGCTGACAGAGAAGTTTGAATGCCACTATTGGTATTACTTAATAACTACTACAAAACCATGCATTCTGCTACAATCAAATACAATGTATATACACCCATTTCAAGAGCAGGGAGCTACAAAAAACTAGTGGTCTGTGGCTCAAAGCAAGCAAAATATCGCTAAAGGTTTGTATTTTTTGTGGCCACAGCCAAAAATATGCAGAACAAAAAAATGCATGACTGAAGTGATGACAACTTGCTATATTCTACCTCTACAAAACCAGAAACAGCAGAGCAGTAGAATGGGAGCAGCTCTGACTCTGCCCACATACATGTTGGGATTCCCTGGATCCCTGGGTTCCCCTAACCAACACTTTAAGGCATAATCAGCACTACAGGCAAGGACAGAAACTCATAACCTCACCCAGTTCGGTTCCTGTTGACACCTCTATGTACTTTGCCTTTGAGAGTATGAGGGGGCCCCTAGTGACTATGTAACAAAGAGAAAGGAAGTCAAGATATAGATCTTATACCTAATTTACATATTTTGCATTCATCTCACCTGGCACAACACTGAGTAGATGAATAATGAGATCATTATCTCCTCATCAGTGAAAATCTACAGTCACTGAGACAGGAAGTTGCAGCTGTGCAGCAACACACAGCAGTATTGCATACTGGGTTGGAAACAAAAAGGAAAGTACTATGGGTCATTTAAATTTAGAATGGATTTTATTATAATCATTCAGACTGTAATATAACCAAGAAAACAGTGCTTTAAATGGGAGCTCTCAAAATTCCTAGGCCAAAAATTGCTATAACAAATTTCCCATATAGCCATTTTTCAGTTGATCTGGTGTCAAATTTTGCTTCTTACATGCCTGCTGTTGGTACTGCATTAGTCTACACAGAATTCAGAAGGGAAAGCATGTAATTTAAATTCCAGTTGTGCCATGGATTCTCTGTAAGTGTAGCATTATTGCAGAGAAAATTGCTTCTTACAAGCCACATTCCAAACCAGAATTATTTGCTTTCCAGAAATATTTTTTGAGCTTCAGGTATAAATTATCTTTATTTCAGATAACTGAAAAGCATCCAGAGGGGAAATTCTATCAAAACTAAAGAAATCAATCCACACACACTTTAAAAGTAGAAATTTAACAAAAGACATCTGAAAAAATTACTGGAATAAAATTATGCAATGTGTGGGCAAAAGTAAGGATTATATTGTGCACAAATTCTATTAAAATATACAATCAAAGAACCTGTAAAGTAAGTATTGGTATAGTACAGAAGGCATCACATAGGAAGTATATGTAATTAGAGGTAGCTCTTGTTTATGTATTGATGCACATGATGTACATTATCATGTACAGTTATCATGAGAATGATAGCACTGTAACTAGTAAACCATTCTAACCTGAACATCTGAATGACTTATTCTACCTGTATTTTCAATGGTTTTTTTTATTGCTAGTAAGTTTCTATCAATTGCAGTGAGGTTACAGACCATGTAAAAGCTGCATTAGTAAACAAGGGTAGTAAATACGTTTTCCTCACTGACAAAGACGCAGCATAAGAATAGGTTAATAGATAACTGCCATTTCCTACAGACTTTCTCTTACTTCTTATCACGGTGTGGAAAATATCGAATAGTTCAGTATTGACTATAAGTTTTAAGTACAATAAACGACGTAATTTAGTCCTGTCTCTTCTCGAACTCCTTTTACAAACGTCATTTAAAGTAGCTCTTTTTACGCACATCAGGAACAATTAGCTGCGAGTCAGAGTACCATTGTACTGTAGCACCACGCGTTGGCTGCAGCTTTGCAACAATATTACTTGAGAACATAGAAAACTCAAATTACTTTCAGTCTTCGTAATTCTAGAAGCAAAGCGGATACTGTCAGTCCGTCTCAACAGCTCCCAGACAAGCCCCGCGTCTTCGCGGAGCTGGAGCTCTTCCCGTTATGGTCGCACGCTAATTAGAGCAGCTCAGTGCGAGGCGTCCATGGGCTGCCACAAAGGCACCCCCTCAGGATGGGCTGTAGCCCCCCGGGGAACTGTGCGCAGGGAAGTTTGTGCACAGCGATGCTCTGGCAACAGCCTAAGAAGAGAGGAGCCGCTTCCCTTCCCTCCTCTCACACAGGGGGACCAGAGGAGACAGTTCCTTGACACCCCCGGCCAGGGCAGCCTCACCTCCCTGGAAAAACTGCACCAGCGAGACTTACCTTAGTGAGCTGGGCAATCTTCTTGCACATTTTCACGTGCATTTCCCGATTGCATTCCTCTGCCGAGCTGCTGCGAGCGGCTTTAGATCCATTGCAAGTCCCGGACTGATGAATGTTGTTTATGCCAGAGGCCATTAGGCTTGAATTTTAATCACGTCTGTGTGCGTGCGCTGCGGGGAGCGCGACCCCGGCCCCGCTGCTCGCCCCCCGGCGGAGCGCACCCACAGCCCCCGGCGCTGCAGGAACTCCAGCCCCGGGCAGGGCACGCTCCGGCCCCGCCGCTCCCCCTGCTCTGCAGATGTCCCAGTCCTTCAGCAGAACACCCAGGCGAGCGAGCCGAGAACAGCATATGCAAGCGTCCTGATTGGGATATTTTTTTCCCTCCCCTTCTCTTCAAATGGTTGAGCTTCCGCCAGGAGAAGACGCCAGCGGCTGGGTGCTACAAATTCCCCGCTGGAGACGCTGAGCCAGCCTAGAGACAGTAGCGCAGACACTGCTGGGGATCTGCTGTAGGAGAGATTGCCTGAAGATCAGATCATGCTGCCTTGTTAAGTGTCAAAGGACTGAAGCAGTCGTCTGAGAAGAGAGTGTTGGCACATTTCACAAGCTCTGTTATTTTGGCAATCCTCTCTAAACCAGGATGAGCCCAGAGGTGATGAAGAAAACCTTTGCTTAGCTTTTGCTGTTGTGCTGAAAGCAGAATGGGCGCCAAGGGGCCCACGAGCACAGCAGAGCCCAGGAGCTGTGTCCTACCTTATCCAAGGAGACTCCGTTCCCTTCACTTATACTAAATGCACTGGAAAGGTGCCTGAAGAAAACTGACAGTATTACAGGTCTTTCTTTCTTTCTTTCCTTTCTTTCTTTCTTCTTTTTTTTTATTGTGCATTGTTTCAAAGAGATCATGCTTGGACATGTAAAATAAATAAAGGGACAGAAAAGGCAGAAAAATACACACAAGAAAGGCAAGCTATTAAGATAATGGGATTTTTAAAGAGAATGCTTCAGTGAAGTGTTATACAAGAAGAAAACTGTCGGTGAGCACGTTTAAACAAGTCTAGAAAAGAAGAAGTAGGAGAAGGCCAAGTGGAGTGGAGTAAGAGAGGCAGAAAAGAGGAAAAGGGAGAAAGAACAGATGAGGGAAACCAAGAGCTGCCCAACACCCCTCTGATGTGTCACTGCAGGCAGAGCAAGAGACCCCATGGAAAGGCCAAGGGCTCCACCTCAGGCCCTACTCACTTGCAGCCACCCAGAGGGGTCATGAGGCTGCTTCTGCCCTGCTGCCCCTACCTGGAAAGGCAGGCAGCTTTCCAGTCTCATCTCCTGGCAGTTCTTGCCATCCTTCTTGGGCGAGAAGCTTCCACTTTGCTAGTGGTGGGTTTAAAAAAAGAGCTTCCTGAGGACTATCAGAATTGAGGAGGAAGATTATCAGGTGTCAGTTAATGGTAGGGCAGAAGGAAAACAGAAAAAACTTGGTGAGGGCAAAGAGAGACAAAGAACCGTTAAGAATAACACTCCTAAATGGAAAAGATCAGGGCAGAAGAATACCTACAAGGCAGTGGGGAGAAGGAACACTGTAAAGATGTAAGAAGATAAGAACTTGGGACAGGGAAACCAAACCCTTGATTGCCAGGAGAAAAGGAGAGACTCTAAATCTCCAGAGGCTGAAATCTGTACTCCAGGAATGAGAGGAAATGAAGACTGAGAAATGCAATGTATAAATGAAAATGATCACAGTTGCTGAGACATGCTAAGCAGAGAAATGATGATTAGCCCAGAAAGAACATGAATAAGAAAAGGTGAGAAAGAGATCCTTGCACAAAGGAATGACAAAATACAGTTTCTTTCTTCACTGGCACTAGTGTCCAAGATGCTACTGGAACTTCTTCTGTGACTAGGACATAGGGACATGCCACTGCTAATTGTCTGATATCTGCTAAGACATGTACTCACACATAAGTTTAACTCAGTTAATATTTTGTAGTACCTTATCTATCTGGTCATCAATTTGAGAAAAAGCCTAGGAATTTAATTATATGTAATATTTTGATTAAATTGACAAGCTTATTAGGACAATCAAGAGAAGAGCAAGGGCTAGAGCAAAGTCCTAACACATTGTTTCCTCAGAAAAAAATAGAACAAACTAAGTGAAAATAGAAAGCAAATTAAGAAAATTGCAAATGGTTTTACAAGTACTGACAAGAAGTTACCTGTTTTATCACACAGGTGGACAGCAACATTTATGGTTGTTCTATTAAACACTGGACCTGAATGCAGGGGTGGATAGAGACTTGACACACCTGTATGGGCATAGCAGAACAGAGAAGAACAGACCTTCAGATACATTGGAAAAGGAATAAACTACTGAGATATCTTCAAGCAGGCTGTTTATGAATTTTGGGGCAGTAGAAGGAAAGAACTTGAAACTTTGGTACAAGATGATGTTTTAGCAGAACACAATTTGTCACTGGTGAAGTATTCTCAGTCCAGACTTCTCAGACAATACTTCAAACCCTGGAATAGTTTCAGTCAAATCTCATGCACCAGAAAATGCAACAACAGAAAATAAATTCACAGATGACTCAGGTCCATTAATTTCATTACTCAAAAAACCCAACTCAGTATCAAGAACAGAATTTCAGCAGATAATGCCAAAATGTTCCAATAAGCATTTAGCTTTTTTTTCCTTGTAACTGATCTAGGAATCATCTATGAGATGAATGTCATAAGATGACAAAATAAGGATGTCACAAAGCCTAATCTAAATGTGTACGACACAAATATAGATTTTGTGACAATCACATGGAACACAAGTAAATTTCAGAACGTGTCTGAACTTGGGGCAGTAGATGACAAAAACATTTAAAAATAAAAATCAAAAAATCTAACAGAAAATGCTTCTGCTTGAATTATTATTGCTGCATTAATTTTGGTTAAAAAAAATTGTGAGAGAAGGTGGTCATGTCACTAGTTTTTATACGTCTTTGATTAACTGCACACAGGTTTGTAGCTTTGCTGTTCAGATATATGAACTAATTTCCTTTCCATAAAAAAACCAAAAACATACATGAGCAAAAGACTATAAGCCTTCCATTTTTACCTCCTGCTTGTTGAACACTCAGACCACATAACTCCTGCAATCTCCTGACTAGCTAATAGTTACCATTAAAAGAGCCATACTCTGAAATTCCAAGACATTAAAAACCCATATTTCTGTTGCAAATGTTTTATACATCAGTTTGCACCTTTGTTTAACACATTGCAGACAGCTTTCCTAAAACACAATCAATACAGCCCAATTCTTTCACTCTTTGTCTGAACACCAGTGCTCAGTGAGATTTTTTTTTTTAAATATACAACAGCAAAGCTAAACTGATTCCCTGGATTACATTCTACTGCTGTTTTGCAGTCCAACAAAGTTTGCCTCTGAACACGGTAGAACAAGCTTTAGTCATTAAGTGTCATGTTATGTCAAGGCTGGCAGCAGGGGATCCTGGGCACCCTGAGATAGTGGTGGCCTCCCTGCCCATGGCAGCAGGAATTAGATGATCTTCAAGGCCCCTGCCAACCCAAACCTTCCTGTGATTCCATGTTTCAAATGAAAAAGCTGTAGTACTAAAACTGACATAAAATCTCTCAACTTAGTGTGTAAGTAAAGGAAGATTCAGCCCCGAGATTCTAATTCAATTCCTAAATCCCAATCCTCATTTTTGATCTCCACTTACATTCACTTTGGTCCTAGAGTAGCTTTGTGATCCCAAAACAGAGAATCCAGGAACCATTTTCTCTTTTTGTGACAAGAGGAAAAAAAGGGAAATAAGGATAAAAATAACAGTCAGAAGACTCATAAAAGTTATGCTGCTCACCTAATTCACTAATCCATTTTCAATAAAACTTGTTTTGGGATTAAGTACAAGAAAAATAACAAATATAAAGTGTTGCCACTGATACATCTTGGGTAATTACCCATATTATACATAATTACATATAAAAATATTATATATAACTACTTTATATTTTTCATTTCTCCCCACCTCATAAAACAGACAGGATTCCAAACACAGCAGAAGAACTACTGATTTCCTCTTTGACTGAAAACATTAACCATTCAAAAATGTATATACAATTTTATAGCTGACTTACATATATACAAGTTTTGGAGCAATGTGGTGGACATAAGCTCAGATTCTGTTGCATAATGATGACTTAATTATGGATGAAACATTATTATGTTCATGTTTTAAATATGGAAACTGGAACCAACTAGACACATCAGATATAAAAGCCCTTGGATCCCTAGCAGGATAGCATCAACTTCCATTTCTTGCTACTTCCATTTTTTATCCAATGACCTACATTTAATATTACCACAAAGTAATTGGCATGCAGCAAGTTTGGCTTACCCTGTGGCACTGTATTTGCTCACATAACAGGACCAACAAAGGAAAGAGAAAGGATCTAGAACAGTGAGTTATGAGAATTAGATCATGGCAGATAAGGTCAGTATTTCAAAGGATAAGGAAAAAAGCTGGAATTAACAGAGTGCATTACCCTCTAGGGCTCAGAGCGCCATTCAAGGTTCGGAATTTCATCATTCTTTTCTGGATAGAACTGTGGAATCCCACTGGCTATAACCTTTGGGGCTTCATTACATCCTTGCCCTCCTGGTCAGTCATTATACCCATCCCTCAGGGAGCAGCTGGTCCCCAGTGAGCCCCCACAGTCAGCTCAACAAGGAACTGAAGGTGCAGGGCAGAGCTGGAATGGATTCCTGGGCCCACAGGCAAAGGCTGTGGCTCCAGGCCTCAGGTGAGGCAGGTTGGGACTCATTAAAGCTGATCACTGCAGTCAAGGCTGCATTAAAGTAAGCTTTAGTAAAAATTGTGATGGCAACATTTCTATCTGTTGAACAAGGTATCTGTACCACAGAAACATGACCAGCATTTGTGATCCTGCTTCAGCAAGCTATTTACCTACATATGAAATATCTGTTGTACTAAGAATTTTCTATTTCTACCTGTAAATGCAAAGCCTAGCAGAAATATTTAAAGCAGCCTGTACAAAACAAATCTCACATCCCTGATGAAATCCATGGTAAGGGACTATGAGATATTCTCCAGGGAAAGTCTTCTTCTGTAGACCTGAGATGCAGGTAGGCACAACTGGGATGCTAAACATGTGAATCAAAAATA